AGATCCTCCACGGCGTTGAATATCATGAGGCGAGGATGATTATTAGTGTTGACATGGGAGCCCTACCGAAGTTTGCAGCTAAAAAGGGGTAAAATTTGCGTAAACGTTGGGGGATATAACCCGAGCAGCGAGAACAAGATGGGTGGCTTTAGAGCGAAACATCTCGAAACTTCACGAGATACCTGTGAGGCATTCCCCCAAGTTTCCTTACTCCGCGCGCGCGCGCACACGCACACGCACGCACACGCACACGCACGCACACGCGCGCCCGCCTCTGTTTCCCTCGCAGCAAGTTGGTCATCGAACGATTGCAAAAAAATAATGGCAATGAATAATAATCCTTTGCCTTATGCGAACGCAGCCCTTTCCACGCGAGGAGGACGTTCCCACAGAGCGCGTTGTAAAGCGTAGTGACTGTGCGTTTCGTGGGCGAGCGCGAGGACCCCGTGACTGTTGTGTCAGAAGCCCCCAACGGTTAAACGTTCTGCTGTCAGGTCGCTGCTGATTGAGGATAAATCTACTGCCTCATCATCATCGCTTCTTCTCACCCCGCTCAATGCCAGTTTAACCGATAACAATTCTTAATTATCCATTAATAATAATGAACTGAGTTAATTACTGCTTCATCTTATAATCACTAACGTTAGTCCTGACCGGTCCGGAGCCTCGGGACGACCTTGTGAAAGGCTCTGGCCGACATGTGTGAAATGATTATTATGATTATGATCGCCGCTCTCACGAAATCCGTTCCCAAAACACCGCGCGGCAGAGCTGGAGCCGCGTTCGCTGATCAGTCGACGCTCGATTTGTATTTCCGCCCGAAGGCGATCGCGCTAAATCCACGCAAGCAAATAGGGTGGATGCAAATCGGGGTGAGCCAAGCGCTTTCACGTCAATACTCGAGGCTTTGTGTGTCTGCCCGGCTCGGTCAGTAGCTCTCTCTCTCTCTCTCTCTCACGCTATCCCCTCCCTCTCTCTCTCTCTCTCTCTCTCTCTCCCGGTGTCCTGGCCAACAATCCCCCTCGTGAAATCGGTCCCTCGCTCCGCGGCTGTTTGTGGGGGACGTCGCCGCGCGCCAATCGGCTGCCGCGCTTCACCGCGAAGTACACAGTCACTACGCTGGGCAGTACATCCTGGAAGAACTTTGGGAGGGTCCTCCTGACGCGCAAGTCGCATTGGCAAATGGAAGGATCAATAATAATAATAATAGTAACGATAATAATAACAACAGCAACAACAACCCTGGCATTCGGCAGCGCCTGATCACGTCGTTGAGACGTCTCGAAGCGCGTCGCAGAATGCACCGTAAAGCGGAGTGACTGTGCATCTCGTGGGCGAAACGCGGCAGCCCAATTAATCATATTATTAGCGTTAGTGTTGTCTCAGTAACAATGGAGAACAACGAGAACTCTGTCTTGCTCTGAGGGTGAGTCGTGTGGGCGTGTGGTTCGCGTTTTTGCCTGAAGGGCTCGGACATGAAAATAAAATGTCTCTCCTGTAGTCACCGCTCCAGGAACTGAACTGCTCTGTCTTGAAACCTGAGAGTACAGAGGGATACAGAGAGAGAGAGAGAGAGAGTGAACAGGAAGCTCTCGATAAGCGATACGATAATGGTACATTGTTCTCTAAAACACCAGGAAATGTTTGTCTGTGACCGGTTTGAACCCACAACCTTCCGAGCCACCAGACGAGAGGACTAATGAAACCCTGAGTTGGGTCTCGGGCGTCATTTGGCACTTCGAGACGTCCTCCCGACACGAGAGGCATCGCATGAATAGCAATAATAATAATCCTCGCATTCGATGCAGCGCCTTATCGCGTCCTCGAGGCGCCTCGAAGCGCTTCGCGGGATATACTGTCAAGCGGAGTGCCGGCGTATTTCCACGGGCGAGGGGGTGAATGAGGGGGGGGGAGCGGCTGGGGAAATGAGGCAGTGAAGGGGGGGGGGGTGGGCTCTCTCTGTATTCACGTCCTGTGTTTTATTTGCAGTACTTCCGACCCCGGCGGCCAACACAGTCGACACTGTCCCTGCAGCGGATTTCGCTGTCATCGGAGGTGAGATTTGTTGCTGTCATCGTCTCTGGTTGAACGGCTTGGCCTGACTCGGTCAGTAGCGCTCTCACCTCCGAATAAGGGGGTCCTGGGTTCAAGACCCCCCCTCCACCCCCCGCCCCACGTCCACGATCACACAGTCCAGGCTGACGCTCCAGTGCTGGGGGGGGGAGGTGGGGAGGGACTGGGTGTTGGGGAGTCTTTTATTTTATCCTTCAGATGAGACGTTAAGCCAAGGTCTGCGCCTGTTCAGGTGGAACTCTCTCCATCGATCCCACAGCCTTATCCGTTCCCTCTCCCTCCCTCCCTCTCCCTACCTCCCTCTCCCTCCATCTCCCACCCTTTCCTTCTTCTCCCTCCCTCTCCCTCCCTCCCTCCCTCCCTCTCCCTCAGCGCCTTGGGGAGTCCTCCCGACGTGAAAGGCGCTCTACAAACGGAATCTTGTTGTTGTCGTCGTTGTTGTTGTTGTGTCGTCGACGTTGAAGATCCCACGACATGATTCCGTGTGCGCAATCGGTTCCCCCACAAAACACGCAGTCGCTACACTTCGCACTATGTCCCGCGAAGCGCTTTGAGGCGTCTCGGAGACGTGACGAGGCGTCGTGTCAAATAGCGAGGAAGATTATTATGACTATTATTGTTGTTGTTGTTATCAACTCGCTCACCTCTCTACCCCCCCCCCACTCCCCCCACCCCCTCACCCGGTGTCCGCAGGTGTGATCGCGGCTGTTGCGTTCATCACCGTTTGCCTCTTCGCGGTCCTGATCCGCTACGCCTACCAACACAAGGGCTCCTACAACACCAACGAGGCCAAGGGCACCGAATTCGCCGAGAGCGCAGACGAGGCCCTGAAGAACGACCCCAATTTCCAGGAAGCGATGGACGAGAGCAAGAAGGAATATTTCATCTGACCACTTGGGAGGAGGAGGAGGAGGAGGAGGAGGAGGAGGGAATCCCACACGGAGAGATTGTTGGGATGGAATGCAGTGTGCAAACTCTCTCTCTCTCTCTCTCTCTCTCGCTCCTTCTCCCTCCCTGGAGGGCCGTAAGTGGGGGGGGGAGTGCGAGAGAGAGAGAGAGAGAGAGAGAGAGAGGGGGGTGAGATCTGGGTTCTCCCCCCACTCTTCCATTGCCTTCGCACCTCACTCACTCACCCACCCACCCACCCACCCACCACACACCCACCCGTCTTGTCCGCACCACACACACACACGTACATACACGCACACGCACACGCACACGCACACACACGAAGTACTAAGATGACACTACACCCCAAGGACTCGCGCTCTCTCTCGGCGTTGAACACTCATCAGAGAGACACGAGTCGATGATGACCTCCGAGACGCTCTCTCTCTCTCTCTCTCTCTCTTCTGTGACAAACTAATGGCTCTGCGCGTATTTTTTTATATAAATAATCCTGCGTGTTTTATAAGGGGTGCAAACACGGGGTGGTGTGGGGGTGGGGGGGGGGGGGGCTGTCACTCCAGGCGTGGGGAGTGTACACGCGTGTGTGTGTGTGTGTGTGTGTGTTTTTACAGTGTGAATGAAGTGCAGATATTTGCGGTATTTCTTAAATAAACTCTCAACCATTTAAGGCTAAACTAACACCCCCCCCCCCCAACCAGTGTAGAGAGCCACCACTAGGGGGCAGCGCTGCACTGCTCTGGCTACCCCCAACCCCCGCAAACCCCCTGGGAATCGCTCCCCACCTTTTATTCTGCCGCGAGTTCAATATTATCTCAAAATCCCCCCCTTCCCCCAACCACCCCCCCCCCCCACATTCCCTCCCAACCCGATGGCAGTTTCTAGTCCACCCTTATTTGTTGGGTGTTTCGCCCCACAAAACACACGGTCACTACACGTCACAGTGCGTCCTGTGAAGCGCTTTGAGACGTCGCTTAGGGGTTAGGGTTAGGGTCAACTGCAGGGATTATTATGATTATTATTATTATTATTATAAGTTTCCCGGTGTGTTAATCCGCTGAGAAGGGAGTAAATCCGTACTTTTCTCCCCACCTTTAGGTCAGAAGTTTGCGGGTCCAAGTTTGTGGGTTAAAGGTCCCCACGACACTGTCGGAAAAGAGAAGAGGGTTTCTCTCTCGGAGTGGCCTAACCCACAATCAACCCCAATAAAATCGGTCACTCGCTTAATGGCTCTTTGCTGGGAGCCAATTGGTTATAGCAGTTGCCTACGATACTCACAGTCACTACACTTTACAGTCAGATCCCTTTGTGACGCCCGCCCGCCCGCCATGTAAAGGGGTTCATCGAACGTTAGAGGGTTGCAACCGTATCACAATCGCCGCTGAAATGAAGGAGAGCGGAAAGGGTGAGGAGTAAGAGAGACGTCTTTCTGAGAGGGTGACACTGCCATCGGGTGGACTGTTTCTATCAGTGCAGAGCAACACACGAAGGGCAGACTGCAGGAACACGGGAACAGGAGGAGGCCATTCAGCCCCTCAAGCCCGTTCCGCCATTCTGTAAGACCCTGACTGATCTGCACCTCGACTCCCAATTCCCCGCCTTTGCCCCCGTATCCCCTTGGCCCCCCCGACCTGACAAACATCTCTAGACCTCAGTCTGGACAATGTGAATGGATCCTGACATAACCCACAGCCTTTGGGGGAGGGAGGCGAGTCCCAGATTCCCACCGGCCTTTGGGTGAAAAACTGCCTCTTAATTTCACCCCCAAATGGCTTGGCTCTAATTTTAAGATGATGCCCCTCCTTGTTCTGGATTCCCCCCCACCGCCCACCAGAGGAAATAGTTTCCCTGTAGCTGCCCTATCCAATCCCTTTATTACTTTACACACCTCAATCAGATCACCCCTCAACCATCTAAACTCAAGGGAATACAGACCAAAGGTTATGCAACGCAGTCCTCGTAGTTTAACCCCTTTAAACCCTGGTATCGTTTGGTGGATCTGAGATGCCACAAACTTCAGGGCCAATATATCTTTCCGGAAGTGCCTACGTTTCAGGTCTCTGCTCCTCTCACCCACCCCGACACCCCCCCCAACCCCCCCCGCGCGCGCTCCCCACACAACGACTCACTGGCTGCCCCATTTGCCTCCAAAGTACACCGTCACTTCGCTTCGAAATGAAAAATAATGCTGTGAAGGCTTTTCGAGACACGGTGAAAGCGTCACCCGTGCGAGATCATGTTGATTAATATTATTATTGTTATTATTATTATTATAAAGTGCCTTCTCGAAGAAGTCCCCATGCAACGAGGTGCTGTGACGTGCCGTGATTTTTCTTGAGCGTTTTGGTTTAAACACAGGACGTGCGTTGCGCATTCTCTCTCGCTGTGATGTGTAGAGTGAGCTTGGAGCACGTCGCGGGCTATTTAACGGCGTAATCCGTGGCTGGACACGAGTGGAGAACCGTGGAGAGCAATTGGCTGCCGCGTTCCGCCCGCAAAATACACGCTCGCTACACTTTACAGTATAACCTTGAAGGCGAGGGTCCTTTCATCCTCATTTTATTCTTTTTTATTTTGATTTTCATCCAGCGCACAGGTGCCTGCGCTACACGATGAGTGGCGTTGGGATCTCTTGACCCCCGGCGACAAACTTGAGGGATGGAGAGGTTTGTCAAAGGGCCTATTTTATTTGAACGCCATCACTGACTCCCCTTTAACGTGCGGATTGGGATGATGGATGCTGGCGGCTCCACGGTGTACCTCGGGCCGCAATCGATCGCCCTATCGTTCCCTTAACTAAGGGCATGGGCGCATCATTGCCTCGCGAGGGGCCAGGGCGTTTAGGAATGGAGAGCGAACGCACAGTGTGAAAATTGAGCCTGGGAGCAGGTCACCGAGAAGATATGTCACACGATAAGCAGACCGGGGCTCAGGGCTGCTGTGGGTGGAATCCTGGAGCTCAGTGGTATCGAGCCTCTTGCCTCGCAAGCGAGAGGAGGGCGAAACCTCAGGCAAGTTTCCTCTTACCCCAGCAATAACTGGGGACCCGGCTGTTAAGTCAATTGGCCGATCACTTTCCGGGGATAACAATCCCAACAAAGCAAACGATAATCATAAGTTGGTCGCTCAATCCACTCAATTGGCTGCTGGGTTTCGCCAAACGTGATTATAATAATACAATATAATAATAGTCTTTGCACCTGATACGGTCCCTTATCAGGTCGTTGAGACGTCTCAAAGCGCTTCACAGAATGCACTGTTAAAGTGGAGCGACTGTGTATTTTTTGTGGGCGAAATAAACCGATCGAGGGTTTCCCTTCGAGAAAAAAAAAATGGAACAAAAGTGCAAAAAACTTTTCGTTTTATTAAATACATCCAATTTTCGCTCTCAACGACTGCTGCCACTCAACCCGCTCACCCACCACCCCCTCACCCCCCCCCCCACCGCCCCCCCGCCACCCCCCGAACAATACCACCACCTCTGTCGCGGGAGGGGTGAAGGTGGGTGGGGGGTGGGTGGATGGGGGGGAAGTGGCGCAGCAATTATTGAAAGAAACAGACAGTATACAAACAACTTACGTTAAAAGATTCTCTGCGTTTCCACTCAACACACTGACCGACCGTACAGAATATCTGAAGACACGGGGTTTGACAATGTCTTGACCGCCTCCAGTTGAACGATAGGATTGTGTTTGAAGGAGGAGGAGGAGGAGGAGGAGGAGGAGGAGGAGGGAGGGATATTAACAGCAAGAAAAATTAATAGCGAGTGATGGTAATAATCGCTGTGTTGTAGATATTATATCACTGCCTCCAGTCAGGAGGGCATGAAAGGATTCCTGTGGTGTAAGTTGTTCTGAGAAATAGATGGAGTGTGTGTGTGTGTGTGTGTGTGTTAACGTGAGCTCTGAGAGCGAGAAAGGGAAGGGTTGGGGAGTAGGTGAAACCCAGAGTGGGGATTTAAGGGGGGGGGGGGGGGGGGGGGCGAGGGCCGAAGGGGGAGTGGAGGGCGGAGGGGCGGAGGGCGCGAGAGAGGGGAGAGGAGGGTGGATGGGGCGGAGGGCGCGGAGAGGGGGAGAGGAGGGTGGATGGGGCGGAGGGCGCGGAGAGGGGGAGAGGAGGGTGGGTGGGTGGTGGGTGGGGCGGAGCCTGCGGCGAGGGGGAGAGGGTGGGTGGGTGGGTGGGGGGGTGCGGGGGGGCTCTACCTCCCTCCTTCCCTCTCTATCTCCTTCCCTCCCTCTCTCTACCTCCCTCCCTCTCTACCTCCCTCCCTCCCTCCCTCCACCCTTACCTCGGCCGGCTCCATCGGAGGCCACGCTTTCACCCGCTACACCCCCAAACTCTGTCACCCACTCCCTCAATACCTCCGCCTCGCCCCCACCATCTCCCCCACCCCAACCCCCTCCTTCCCCAACTTCAGGTCGTGCCTGAAGACCTTCCTCTTTGACCGTGCCTACAGTCACCTCCCAAACCCCATCCCCCCCCACTCCCCCTTCCCCCCCCCGGTTCGTGCTCTGCTGCCGTCGAGTGCTCCGAGACGCGCCCATCCCTCGTGAGGGGCACCGTGTAAGTGCAAGTTGTTGTTGTTGTCGTCGTCGTCGTCACGATCCAATAATTTCCTGGTGAGACCAACTCTGGTGCCGTGTCTTGGCGGTGATGGTGTGTGGGGGGTGGTGGGGGGGGGGGTGGGGGTGAGGTGGGAGAGAGGAAGAGAAGGGGAGGAGAGGCGGAGAGGGAGGAGGGGAGAGAGCAGCGGGTGGGGGGAGAGAGAGAGAGAGAGAGAGAGAGAAAGAAAGGGGGAGAGGACAGAGAAAGGGGGAGAGGAGAGAGAGAAAGGGGGAGAGAGAGGGGGAAAGGGGGAGAGAGAGAGAGAGAAAGGGGGAGAGAGAGGGGGAAAGGAGGAGAGGAGAGAGAAAGGGGGAGAGGAGAGAGAAAGGGGGAGAGGGAGAGAAATGGGGAAAAGAGGAGAGAGAAGAGAGGAAGAGAGAACGGTGTTATTCGTTGCCAAATAATCCGAATTATTAATATTAAGGAT